TGTTTATGAGTGATTGTTTTATTCGTTATCATTTGTGTATTCTCATAATCGATCTGCCTGTCAAATTATTCAACCAAAAAGACGTATCCATTGTGGCTAAATAACCAATCAGTCCCATTTGGCCACCATTCGATAATGATTAACATATACCCCCAAATATATGAGCTATTTTAATCGACCTGCCACAGGGGTTTTGCGATAATAAGACGTTGGGTAAAAATTATGCCAAGTTACCTTTTTAATTGGTCCACCATCAGGACCTTCCCGCTGTTTAAAATGATCCCACAATCAAACCAAAGATAATTGATCTACCTGTCGCTGAGGTCATCTTGATTTGTCCCCCCTAAGAAATTTCGTCACATCGAGCAATTAACGAACTTGTAATCTATCATGTTGTTATGAATGGGGTTGACTTCTAGATTCATAACGCCTTGAACACTTGCCCACCCCCCTTTGGGTCGTTCAAACAAACGACCACCCAGCTCGAAAGCTTTAGTCATGGTTGATTTTTCCTTGAACACTTGCCCACCCCCCTTTGTGGTCGTTCAAACAAGCGACCGGGTCGCACACTCGTCACGCCCGTCTGTGCTTGGTACCATTGCCTATCATCTTCTAGCCGATCCTTCGTCGCCCAACACTGTCACTCTGCACTCTCCTTGGCAGCGCCTGCACTTGACAGCAAGTTGTCGGGGGGCACGCGCGACATCGCGTAAACAACGACCACAGGTCCGCTGTTGGCTTGCCTCTCTCTTCATAATTCATCCGCGTCCAACAGGACCAACAAATAATTACATAAATTGGTCCTACGGCCAACGCAGGGGTTGTACATGAATGATCTAGTAAAGCATTTAAACTATGTGGTGTTCCACCGCGCAAATAAATTATTACAAGCATTCATCAACCCAAAGTCCCCGACATGTCTGAGGCTTATAAACACACATGAATTAAAGAAATACGTACATACAGGCCACAATAGTTGGATTTAAGAATACCTGCAAACAACACTTATTTGCAATTTTAATCTACTATGCGCTGCGCCCATACACAATCAATTCACATATGTCACGCAAGTCCTAATTCAAATAGTGCACAAAGACGAATAGCCTAGGCTCTGATACCAGTTGTTAGGTTCTATGAGGAACGTCATCTATGTATACATTTGAATCCACTAAAAATAAATCCTAACGCAACATAATCTATAGTTAGGATTGGGACTTACGGTTTAAAAATTTTTCCAACTCTGAGACGTTTCTAATTTTTGCTGTTGGAGATCGTCTGAACCTCTGAGTCTGTTGGACAACTGGACTTGGCCTCGTCATCACATCTCTGGTTGATTGTCGGATCATCACTAACCTTTGGTAGGTTAGTCGGACTGCCTAAGACTCGTCTTGGACTCGAACCAGGGACTGAACCACTCCTGGACCGGTCTGGACCGATTCTAGGTGTTGGTGACTCGGTTGGACAGGACTGGGCATGTGCTGACTCGGGTCAGGTGCTGGGACACCACGAGCTGCACCTGGGAGAGTCCTATGTCTCATAGGACTGGGACGCGTGCACTGGGATTCAGAGCTGGCACGCGCGTGGCATGGGAACATTGCGGATCTTCATGCGGGTCGCATTCAGGCTCTTCGGGTCGCGCAAAATGCTCACGGGTCGGCAGACTGCACGCGAGTCGCACTGGGACGCATAGACAGGGCACGCGAGATTATCGGATGCAATGAGCAGGTTGTGCGCGTGATTCGCACGCGACGTGGAACTTGGACGGTGTCTACACGCGGTGATGCACGGGTCTGCATGGTAAATGAACGAGTCTCCGGGCACCTAGGAGCTACAACACGGCTTTGCACGAGCTGTGCGGTCTGGGACAGTGCTGGTCGCGGCCTAGCAGGGTGGAGCTGCGGCTGGTCGCCCCATGGTCGTGCGTAGTTTTCCGGGGATCACTGGCAGTTGTGGGGTTGTATATATTCGACGGGATGCGAATACATAACCTTGAGGTCTTCTATTGTATGACCATTTCACCATCTCCAATCAATCTTGATTGTGCAATTAATTGGAACTCCTAAAGCTTATCGATTTTCTTTTCCGAAGACCTTTGATTTTATCCGAATTTTTCCAAGAAGAGAACTCTCTTTCTCTCACATTTTTTGGACATGTGGAATCAGATCTTAGGCGTGAGAATTCATTCCCTTGGAGGCTATGGGACTTGATGTATTTATAGGCTACAATAGGGACCCTAAGGAGGTTCTATATATGAGCTTCTTCAAATAGGTTTAGGAAACCTTATATCTTTCAACTTATTAACCTTCTAGAAGTCCTAATGCCTTCCAACTTAATCACCCTTCTAAAAGACCCATATCTGCAAAACTTGGTAATATTCTAGAAGGTATTAAATCCTTCTACTTAGGAAAATTCTGGAAGGTAATTTAATTCCTATTCCTTATTTGAATAAATAATAAAATATTCCACTAGAGTAATATTATTGTTGTCCCATTTACCTTTGAATTACAATTTAATTCGTCTCCTGACTAACTGCTCGATTTACCTCCCCATGTTTAAAATATAACATCCATTGATTAATTTAATTATTGACAATAAAGTTAATCAATTTCTTTTATCTCTTGGATTCGAAAATAGTATCACTCAATTCTTTATCTATTATGTAACGCCCCACTTTGTTTTAAAAATATTTATCGAATTTATTTATAAAAAATCATAATAAATTTTTCGCAAATCTCAAATTAAATTTTAACTCAGTGGGCGCTACTTAACTACCAAGAACTTTTAACCGAAAATACAAACACATAAGATAAAATCGGTACATGCACGATTACTAGTTATTAAACTTCACTTGCATTCAATAAGTCCTAAATCATAAAGGCATTTCATAATCCAAGATCTCAAGTGACGTAATCAAAAATATCCCAAATCAACATAAGTTCATAAAAGCGGAAGAAATAATAATCATAAGTAAAATAAAATAGACCACCACTCGCCCTGCTTCGTTACCTGCCAACTGCTTAACCTGCATCTGTGAAGAGCTGGTGAGAGTGAGTACAGATGGAAAATATTGTACTCACACTATGCATATGAAACAATTGAGAATATGTTAAGATGGTATGGTCGCAGCATGAACATAAACAATAAACATCATGTCTTATCTCTAGTCACATCAATGACTCTAGTCTCATCAAGACTCACTCATGTGCACATCTACGCTCATCAAAGCTCAGCCATTCCATATCAATGAAACATGGGAGTGCGTGCCACATCAATGACACGGCCTTCTCATAGGTCTTACTGGGATTTACCTCGTAAGGGTAACCGTATTTCATCTACAGGGACAACCGTACCGATGGCCATCAAGCTCACATCGATAGGCTACATGCTCACATGCATACATAGATCATACCGGTTAAACATATTTAAACGCACATATGCACATGTATTTTAGAATAACTAACCCACCTGGTAAGAATCGAGATAAATCACAAAATGGGTGTAGGCGGCGAGCTTGACTCGTCAAGCACTTACATTTAGTAAAATAGCCCTATAAATGACTATTCGACAATCACTTAATCTAACTAAGCTCACGTAAGCATTTAAGCATGCATTTAATCAAGGAAATCACATTTCCAAATATATCACATAAGTTTTTGAAAACTTAACCTGGGCAGCGTTTCTAAAACCTACATAATTCTCAGCACACAACTCATATGAATATGGTTCAAGTTGCATTGTAATCCTAAGATATGCATCTACAATTCTTATGAAGACACCGAAAGCAAATAAGGCCATTTAATAGGTGATAAATCAGCAAACACTCAAAATAGAGTCACAGTCCAAAACTGGGAATATGAAATTGAAAATGTTAGCTAACCAGAGCTTCAGACATGATTTCAATGATATACAAAAACCACATAATAGATAACGCAAATGTCTACAACTTTGCTGCAGATCACATTGGCAAGTAATCACACTATTAATGAGTTTAATCACAAAACATATGATACAGAAAACCTGCCAGAAACTCACATGTGATATAGACAACACTTAAGAGTTTATCATCTAGATTGAGCTACAGACCTCCAAATGACATGGTTCAAGTCTCAAATTAAACTTAAATCATGCCTCTACAACTTTCATGAAGAGCATAAATTCATACGAGCATATTAAGACACGATAAACAGGTCATATTTTAATTACAGACATGCTGCCGGGTAACAGAAAAACTGAACGCACAAAATTCTTGTAAAAATCATAACTTATTCGATATAACTCGGAATTGAGAAATTACAAAGCCCAAATACAGACAACCGAACATACTACAATTCATAAGAAGATATCAACTTCAAATAACCAGTCTATGATGGCTTAAACTAAGGCACAACAGAACAGCAAAAAATGCGTTTTCACATGAAATTACAATGAATTTATATAAACGGATGTTCTAAGCTCGACAACAATTCATATGACGATTTCCACAGTATCAAACGAGCACGATAATATATCACAGCAATTCATAATACTCGATTTATAAGAGACGAGAGTTATCAATGCCCGGTTAATAACACGATTCACGAAAAAAGTACGAACCAACATATAATGGCTTCAATCAACGACACTCGAGACATCAAACATGAAATCATCGTACCTATCTAAATCCGAATAACAACTAACGAAGAGGTTCCGAAAATATTATCCGCCCTCGGAAAAAAGAGATCCGAAAGACGGGTCGAACGAACGGAACTCAGAAAGCTCGAACAGATCTTCGGCGAACGGGCCCGGGGCTGCTCGCGAATGGACTAGCTGGGCTCGCCGGTGGAAGGGACTCGCCGGGAAGGTGCAGCAGGGTCGTGGCTTGCTGGCATCAGCTCGCCGGAAATGGTCGGGAAGGTGTCACGGTGGAAACACAGCGGCGAGGATGGTGATGTTGATGATGGCTCGCGGTGCTTGATGGAGGAGGGGGAGACTCGCCGGAAAAACGCAGCAACGAGGTAATGATGGTGGACGGAGGTGGTGATGATGATGGTGAAGATGATGATGGAGGTGAGGGGTGATCGTGCAACGAGATGAGAGAAACTGATTTTTGAGAAATTGCTGCGTGAGAGAGAGAGAGATATGCTGAGGGCGTGATTTTGAAATGAGAAATATCTCATCTGTATGTTATAGCTGATAGAGGAGGAGAGAACGTGCAAGCGGTTGGAGGAAATCTCTCTCATGAGACTAGGTCTGGCGTTTTGAACGAACAGATAAAATTTATCTGTTTTGGTCGCGTCTTGAGAAGAGAAGGGACGGAAAATAATTATCTGTTTTGAGCTTGCCAAATAAAAAAAAATAGCATAGTCCTTTTATTTAAACTCCAAAATGGCAAAAAATATTTATCAAATGGGCTAGAGAAAAACGATTCCAAAATGGCTACAGAAAAATACTCAAAATCGACCGGTTATCTCGGGCTCGACTCGAAAATTATACGAGGCTCGATTCGACGTGGCGAAAATTAAATTGAAATTGGCTAAATACATAATACACATAATATTTATTAACAATTATAATAATAATACAGATACATATTTAGGCAATTAACTACAATTAGACAAATAATAATATTTAGACATTTAAAGATAATTTGGCATTTAATAATAATAATAATAATAATAATAACAATAATAATAACATTACTAATAAATAATAATAACAATAAAAAATAATTCCAAATAATTCATAAATAAACGGGGCGCTACATATTATGTCGGAAATTAATGCGCCGGCCGGGCTTGACATAATAATCATTCTTGAGCTCATTTCAGAACGTCATCAACCGGGCGGACCGGGACATGGTGACCGTAAACAATATTAACGGCACCATCATGCACTCGACATTATTTACAAAAATACAGAGTATGTCGACCTAATCAAATAAGTCTCACCCATGATAAATCAAATAAATAAGTATCGAATACATATGTCCGTTTAATGTCTTACAGGTTAAGAGAACGCAACAATTACTAAGGTCCAGATTATTTACTTGGTCAGTATAAAATAATCTTATCCTCTTGTTGGTTCATTCAATACGTACGAGATATACCAATGTAATTCATTAGTCAAAGATCAACTAACTCGAAAATAACACTACATCCTTTCACGACAGTTAGTGCAATTCTGTCTAGACTGTGAATCGACATTTATATTTTACAAGGTGTTGTAAATATTACCGGAGTATAATCGAACGATTGGAACACCGGGTCGTGTCTCACGAGGAAGGTTAGCCGGAATAATCTGCACGTTTATTCAAGCACAAATAAAAGAAATAAAATTCCTAGACATTCTAAATCAAAGATTGGTTTTGGTTCTTAATTGTCAACTACTAAAATTTAAATAAAGCAAATTGAAATAGCAGACTAACACGTAGAACAATCAAGATTTAAGAAGCTAGAGAGTTGGGGGTATCCGTTTTGGTTCGAAATGCAATTATCAAGTGAGTGCTTGTTCGATTAAGTGATTTGAATAACTTGCTCGTTCAAGAACTCATCCTCAATAACTCTTCGTAACAAGAGAACAAACTTGAACGACAAATTAACAAGTCATTTAACGCCTAGGCAATACAGTTATGAACAAGCCTACTTCATACGAGCCTATTTCGACCGACTCCTCCCCTTTCGGTTCAAATAGTCGATTAAAATAGACTAGAGGGTGATTAGCCGACTAGTAAATTAGAATAACCAACATCATTTAAGAATATATCGAACTCAATTGAAAACCATTGGGAATTGAAGTGTCACCCTTCAACAATTCTCAATATTCAAGCCTGACAACTGAAAAACCCTTTAAAAAGATCAACTCGCATAAATTGAACAATCACGAACATGATAATCGCAAACGAAATCAAAACATCAATCCGCTATCCCTAGCATAAGGATTTAGCTACTCATAATCGAATAATCAACACAAGCAATCTCAACCCAAGAATTCATATTTAATGATTAAGTTAAAAGAAAATCTTACGATCGATAAATTACAAAGTCTAATCCGATAAACAGGCTTAAATCTGAAAGCAGTAATAAAATCCAAGTTTAAATCCTTGTTCTATGTTGAAAAAGATGAAGGAAATATGAAAAATGAGTGTTTGGAATCGATAGGTAAGGTTATCGGGTTTCTATCGAAGAGCGGTCCTTTTCTGATCGGTCTCGTGCGTTATTTATAGGGCCCAGGTCTCCACGGCACGAGGAAGGCTGGCACGGCGTGAAGGGCGACGATGAGAGCGACGGGTGATATGCACACGGTTGTGCATTGGGCCGACGATGAGAGCGAGAGGATTGTGTCGGGAAAAGTAGGCGAATGGTGTAGGGCTTGCGCGAGAGACCGGCGCAAGCAACGCATGCGCGCTAAGACCGAAGGTGCATGAGGGGCGGATGAAGGGTGGACAGCGTGCACATGGGGCGGATGTGATGGCGCGGACGCGCTAATAGAGTGAGTCGACAGGGTCGATAAGGCGAGCGAGCGCAGCATGCGCATATGTGGCAGGGACGTGCTCGGGGTAAAGGGCGAGTGCGAGGCGGCGCTAGGCAGGCAAGTGTGCGGGGCACTCGCTGGCTGGGGGACGCGCGAAGGAATGGACGCGCGCGTGGCGCGAGGGGGCTCACGCGAGGTGCGGGCGGTAACACGCGATGCACGCGGGAGTTGGTTGGCGCGAGTCCTTGAAGGACTAGGCATAGCCCGCCGACTGAAGGGAATCCGCGCGACTTGAGGCGCAAGGCAGTAGACGCGTGGGACGCGTGGGGCGACCAAGCTGAGACCTTGCAGGACAAGGACTAGCGCGCGATGGTTAGGGTTCGGGTGAAGTGCCGCGCAAGACAAAAACCCGAGATCCTTCTAGAAGGCCTTGGGCCGATTTTCCCTAATAACTTAGGACTTATAGTTTGGTTAGAATATGGAATAAAAGGCATGTGCCTGAGTAGTTTTGGTAAGTCTATGTTTACTAGATATTTACTTTCCTTAGGACTTTATTTGCTTACTTGCATTAGGAATTCTTTTTAGACTAGGATTAGATCTATTTGGTATCTATAAATACCACCCAATGTCATTCGAAAATTATGGTTGAGAAGTAATGAAAAATCGTTCGTAAGAACAAAACCGTGTGTTTAGAATTCGTGAGAGTTTTATCATGCAAATCGAGTAAGGCAAGGCTAAGACCCAAACCTACTCAAAATCGTGAGAAGATAAGGCTAATAACCGAGTCGTCCACACCTATCGTCGAAGGGCAAGCCTTGGCAAAGCTTGGTTCGAGACAAGTGAGTTGGGAAAACACATGATCCTTCATCATTGGTGGTTTCATTGAGAGGTGTTGATCGTGTGTTTTGTTTGACTTTTTCTATCCCCTTCTTTTTTCAATTTTTCCCATTTTTCTTTTCGTGAGTTTGGGTCGAGTATAAAAAAAAAGAGAGAGAGTCATGACAAACCGAGAGAGATTCGAGATGTTGGGCGAAAGCATGAGGTTCCTTGGTGATGGACAACATGCGGCCAACGAGAATTTTGCGAAGCTCGAGATCATGGTGCACGACCTAGCTGCACAACTCAACCGAGCCACACGACGACCGCAAGGAAGTCATAGGTCGTGTTCGACCACGGCTCGATCAAGTAGCTCCGAGTCCGACCGCGATAACCACGACCGTCGATCGAGAAGGACGCGAGCTTCTAGTCGACGCAAGGAGAGGAAGGTCGAGAAGCTGAGGCTTACTATGCCTACGTTCACGGGAACCGACTCGGACGCATGGTTAAGCCGAGCCACGCAATATTTCGAGATCAATGACAGTAGGTCCGGAAAGAGACTTAAGGCATACCCATGAAGAAGCGGGACATGAGCCTCTTTTGCTTTGGCAAGAATGATTTGCCTTGCTAGTAGAGACTTGATTCCAACCACGGATGCAGTTGGGAAAGCGGGGTTATCGAGTAGGTCCTACGAAAGGAAGCCCTTTTCTTTTAGTACTTTTAGTAGTGAGGTTGGGACTCTGCTTTTTCAACTGGAGCAGGAAAGGCAGTGTAGTGCCTTGGGCCAAGGATAGTAATCCTGGTGAGGCTTCTTCCTGTTTTCTTTCATGCAAAAGGTTCGTAATATCTATTCTATTAAGCTAGCTCGAGTCAAGGAATCATTCCATCCAGCCTCACGAACTTCTTACTGGGGCAGTACTATAGGCATTTTCTAGTCTTTGGATGCACGTGTTTTGTGTCCAATCCCTTTAGAAAAGCGTATGTCTAGGTACAACAAAAGATATACTATCTATAATAATAGAGATACGGATAACACTACTAAGACTGTGGCCGGACGCCCTACCTGCCTTTATGACTGAACTTCGTCAATTTCACCTTTCCTCTCCTTTCAGTCGAGCTATTTCGTGCACCCTCCCCTCCAATCCTATCATCTATTGCTGATTGATCCGCTCTGGCAACCGTATACCACTGCTCGTGCCCAAATCCGAACGAGTCAAGATGGCCGCATACTATCTCGATGGTGAGGCGAACATATGGTGGCAATGGATCTCGCACGTTTACCAAGACAAGGGCGTGAGAGTACATTGGAGGGATTTCGAGAAGGAGATCATTACGCGATTTGGTTCGAGCCAATACCACGACTATGACGAGGCACTCACTCGTATACGTCAAAGTGGTAGTCTCCGAGATTACCAAAAGGAGTTCGAGCGCCTAGCTAGCCGCGTGCGCAATTGGCCCGAGAGCACATTAGTTGGTGCGTTTGTGGGTGGACTCAAACCCGAGCTGGCCGTCGAGGTTCGAGTAGACCGACCGAGGTCGATGCGAACTGTCATGGAGTCGGCACGAATGCGCGAGGACCACCTGGCTGTGGTCCGCAAGACGAGCCGAGGAGACGGACACACGGAGACGCGGCGCGCAAGCGCAATACCCGATCTACTACCACAGGCCGAGAGCGCGAGGGTTACCGAGGTGGCACGACCACCGAATTACATGCGGCGTCTAAGTCCCGATGAGATGCAGAAGCGGCGCGAGAAAGGTCTATGCTTCTCGTGCAATGAGCCATTCACGCCCGGGCACCGATGCAAAGGTAAAGGTAAAGAGGTTTACCTACTCGATACATGCGAGCCTGAGGGAGAACATGACGATGGAGGACACTTGTACTTAAACCCGCAAGTGGAGACGCTGCACATGGTCAAGGCCGAAAAAGGACCTAAGATGATGAGGTTCGAGGCTGAGATTCTGGGACGAAAGGTCGATGTGTTAGTCGACAGTGGGTCGACACTTAACTTCATTAACTTGGACTTCACTGCAAAGCTAGAAGTCCCAATAACCGGGATCGTACCATTCGGTGTAAAGGTCGCAAATGGTGAAGAGTTGTGGAGTTCGGAGCTATACAAAAAGGTGCCAATACAAGTACAAGGAGAAGAGCTCAAGGCAGACTTATTTGCGCTAGAACTCGAAGGACCGGATGTGGTACTGGGGGTCCAATGGTTGGAAACGCTAGGGCCCGTAACTACAAATTTTAAGAAAGGCACTATGGAGTTCGAACGGGCCAAGAGAAGAATCAAGTTATGCACTAGTGACGAAGGAACTGAGCCGGTCGAATTGAAGAGTCTTCAATTCATTCTCCTTGAGGACAAGGTCAAACTCAAAGGGGGATGGAATGATGAGGATGTGGTCATCGACCCATCCGAGCCCGAGGACGAGACGCGCGGAGGCCATGGGAAGAAGCGCGCGAGGGCCCGGGACAACCACCGAGATCGCACTAAGAGGGTCCGGAGAGGCTACGCGACGGATGATACGCACACGGTTGCGCATTGGGCCGACGATGAGAGCGAGAGGATCGTGTCGGGAAAAGTAGGCGAATGGTGTAGGGCTTGCGCGAGAGACCGGTGCAAGCAACGCATGCGCGCTAAGACCGAAGGTGCACGAGGGGCGGATGAAGGATGGACAGCGTGCACATGGGGCGGATGCGATGGCGCGGATGCGCTAATAGAGTGGGTCGACAGGGTCGATATGACGAGCGAGCGCAACACGCGCGTATATGGCAGGGACGCGCTCGGGGTAAAGGGCGAATGCGAAGGCAGCGCTAAGCAGGCAGGTGTGCGGGGCACTCGCTGGCTGGGGGACACGCGCGGGCGGTAACGCGCGATGCACGCGGGAGTTGATTAGCGCGAGTCCTCGAAGGACTAGGCGTAGCCCGCCGACTGAAGGGAATCCGCGCGACTTGAGGCACAAGGCAGTAGACGCGTGGGATGCGTGGGGCGACCAAGCCGAGACCTTGCGGGACAAGACTAGCGCGGGATGGTTAGGGTTCGGGTGAGGTGCCGCGCAAGACAAAAACCCGAGATCCTTCTAGAAGGCCTTCGGCTGATTTTCCCTAATAACTTAGGACTTATAGTTTGGTTAGAATATGGAATAAAAGGCATGTGCCTAAGTAGTTTTGGTAAGTCTATATTTACTAGATATTTACTTTTCTTAGGACTTTATTTGTTTTCTTGCATTAAGAGTTCTTTTTAGACTACGATTAGATCTATTTGGTATCTATAAATACCACCAATGTCATTCGAAAATTATGGTTGAGAAGTAATGAAAAATCGTTCGTAAGAACAAAACCGTGTGTTTAGAATTCGTGAGAGTTTTATCATGCAAATCGAGTAAGGCAAGGCTAAGACCCAAACCTACTCAAAATCGTGAGAAGATAAGGCTAATAACCGAGTCGTCCACACCTATCGTTGAAGGGAAAGCCATGGCAAAGCTTGGTTCGAGACAAGCGAGTTAGGAAAACACACGATCCTTCATCAGCAAAGCATCGCGGTGTGAAGGCCGACGCGGCGCGGAGTTGGGATGCCTGGGAGCCTCTTTCTGTGTTGTGGCACCGGGCGCGGCGTGGTGATGGCGCGGGCGTCTGACTGGCGCGGCATGGGGCTCGGCACGCCTCGGTGCCTGGGCAAGCTGGTTTGCAGCTCGCACGACTTTACATTTTGGGCTCGTATATGCTCATCTGGACTCAAAATCTGATTTCGTTTTCTCCTGTGTGATGCCAACGAACTCCTCTATTTGATTATGCTTGCCCGACTAATATTTTCTTGAAATCCCATCTTCCCGAGACTTCCAACCTGCATGCACACCAATGACGACGAAAAATCGGAAAACGACCGAAAAACACAAGAAAGACCAAAAATAGAACAAACCACGAAATAAACTATTAAATAGACAAAAACCCAACGAAAAGACCTAAAGTGGGAGAAAAAGAAATAAAAAATAACAAGAAAAAATGTAACAAAAATGGGACAAACAACTCCCCCACACTCAAACCTTTGTTCGTCCCGAACAAAAAGAAACGACAAGAAAAGGAAAACAAGCAAACGAGCATGGATAACAGTTTCAAATAAGACAAGTCTCAAATTAATCAACTTAGCCGAAGAGACTTCAAATGACCAATATAGCACACCTCCATTACAACTCGAATGCTACGCCTTGAAAAGACAAACTCTCAAGCACGGAAGTATAATACATATATGTCTCATTTAGTTTCTTGCATGAATATGAAACGGGTTTGCTCAAATTAAGCTTTCTTATTGTTTATTCATACTCTAAAACAATCAAATTTATGCAATAGTGAATCAAGAGGACTTCTATGGATGTAACGTAGGCTCTTTGGATTGGGTAGGATAAATATAGGCTAAGTGGCTCAATAAAATTATAACTCAATTCAATCACCTAACCGTGATCATGAACTCATCCAGTTGTCAACACCAACCGTTTCCTCCAACATCCTCAAAAGCCAACACGCTACCCACATTATTCATTTTTTTTTTTTTTTTTTTTTGTAAAAACAAAAAAAGAAAAAGGGAATGAAAATACAAAGAATGCCTCAATCATTTTCACATTACACCAATTCGATTGCTTCATTTCAAAACAGACTCAAAGCAAGTTCTGATCACCAAAGCTTACGACCAATATCTCTCAAGAAACAACCAAGGCTCAAACCTCATATAAGGTAAATAAATGTCCAACAAAACGACACATCAAGTTCATCAAGGCATACTAGTCATTCATCAACAAATCTTAAACTTCACAATAATTCATACTCGCAAAACACACAAACTGACTCAAGAAGAGACACTAAACTAAATATGAAAATGAGGAACACCCTAAAAGACCTAGACATGGTCAACCACATAGACAAATAAAAACTCCCCCACACTTAAAACCGAACAATGTCCCCATTATCGATCATTAGTGCTGGAAAAGTGATGTAGGGAAGCGTACGAGTGGGAGATAAACGAGATACTCTCTCGATAACTCACAATCAATTCATATTCTTATTCATTTAAATAATCAACTCCCGATAACAAAAGAGGCGGAGTCCTTTATATAAGGCTCCTAAACCCTAGCAGTAACTTGCTCACCAAGACTAAACATAAATAACAAATAAATATTATATGCTAATAATAATAATAATAATAATAATAGATATTACTTAAACTACCAAATATTCTAATACCAAAAATAATAGATATTATCCTGCATCATTCTCCTCTGGTTGAGGAGGATTCGCCCTCGAATTCGACCCGATCTCGTTTCCTGAAGAGTCGTACCCATGGCAGCAATCACCCGGCGTTTCCCCCTGTCGAACACGAACGTTGAATATCGCATCTGATTGCAAAGCCGCAACAAATGCTCGTGGGAGAAAAGCTCGGGCCTGTGCAACAGATAAATTACCAATGTTTCCAGAACCTTCTTCACGTATTCAAGGACAACAACATCGTGAAACTCAACATCAATCTCAGCGGGGCTAACGAGGCCCGAAACAAACGATCTCTCGGAAGAAACCACAAGAATCGCTGCAATTCCTAACTTTGCAAATTGTCGAACATAGCCAAATACCTGTGAGGCCACAACACGATTATCACAGGTTGTCAAGATGACTCGCATGACATCGCACATGCTCGGGATAATCCGTATCTCTATGTTCGTAATGTCCACATCAGTCAGAGATTCCATGAGGAATTCTTTCGGCCCTGGAGGCTCCTCATCGAAAATTGGTGGACCGTCGTACAATGGCCCGTCAACTTGCTCACTGTCGAATTCGGAGATCTCAACGCGAAACGGGCCCTCCCATTGACCATATTCGCGATCAAGTCCCCAATCGTGTCGGGCACGATATCCGCTGGAGAAGGCAGCCTCCAGTGAGCAGGTTGACGGGTCATTGTACGATGGTCCGCCTGTGCTTGATGAAGGACCCGAGGAGGTGGAGGAGCGTCTTATCGGCGAAGTGGACGGGCTCTACGACGGTCCGCTGATCTTTGATAAGGAACCTTCGCGGCCGGAGGATTTCATCGTGGAGTGTATTCTCTTTACAGCACCAACAAAGTATGTGACCAACCTTTTGGTGGAGAGAGTGTGCATGCTAGGGGCGTAGGTCCTGCTCCAATCCCAGACGAGGATTTTTCACTTCACAAGTTGGTAGATGCAATTATTTGTATGCTACATCCTGAGGTTAAGCAAAGTGCCATTGACCTGGCAAAAGCAATGGAAGATACGATGGTGTGATTCTGACACGTCATGACATGCACTTTCAAGTTATTGACCATTCGGGTGTCGTTTAATTTTTTAGTTTTGTGATGCCCAAGGGTGTTTGGGTTGGAAGTAGGCGTCCTATGTTGCGTGAGTCGGCTAGAGTGGACGTCGGGATACATTCAATCTTCGTGGTCGATAGGGGAAAATGTCGGACGATGATTGCCAGGGGTACAACTCCGGTGGCGGCACGTTTGGTGTGGCTTTGAGGGCGACCTGTCATGGGGACGTCTCTAATAGGAACGTGTCAGATTCGAGGGCGAATCCTGCTCAATTGGGGGAGAATGGTATAGAATAATTAGGATTACTATTATTATTATTATTATTATTATTATTATTATTATTAGTGGTGGTTAGCTTGGAGAATAAGCTAGGGTTTATTTTGAGGGCCATATTTAAAGGGCTCTTCTGCTTTGTTATGGGATGGTGAATTTTGGGATTGAATAAGATATTGTGAATTTTATGTGTTTTACGAGAGAGTATCTCGTTTATCTTTTCCACTAGTACGCTTCCCTACCTCAGAAAGTTTGCCCACATAATCAACCATTCACAAAAGACAACAAAACTAAACCAAAAACGAAAATAAAGAGGAAGGATAAGGTACAAACATACAGGGCACAGTGACTAGACGAGTCACTGTGAATCCGGTGGTGCAGGTAGAGGGTCGAGGCAGTCGGGCCCCGAGCAGCGGCAGGCCTCTGTCAACTCAACTCTCTCGCCCCATTGGGATCGGGGCGGCTCCTTCAATCTCGACTAAGGAAGGGTAGTGTGGCGGTTGGTATGACGTCCTTTCTCAACACACACACACAGCCCTGCAATGACCTCTGAGCGTGCTCTCGCATGCACGCTTCCTCAGTAAGCTACTCAATCGCCCTAAGAAATGCACACTCTTTCATAGAATTTACCCGCGGCTCAGGCTGGGTCTCTCGAAAGGAGATGGCGATGGACTCTCCCAACACTGTCATGCTCGTCGTCCCCTTCCTCACATCAATAACAGTTCTAGTGGTTGCCATGAAGGGTCGCCCGAGGAGGATGGCGTGCTCCTTACCATTGTCTTGCAAGTTCCCCACATAGAGCACAACGAAGTCCACCGGGACTACTTCCCCACTCGGACGAGCACATCCTCCACAATCCCTACGAGGTGACGGAATGAACGATCTGCAAGTTGTAAGCGCATCTAGGTGGGCTTCAATTCTCCGAGCCCGAGCCGATGCTAAACCGCGAGTGGCATGAGGTTAGTACCTGCTCCTAGATCAAGCATGCCCGAGGTCTCTTCCACATTCCCAAAGGCCATAGAGATCACAAAGCCTCCGAGGTCTTTCTCTTTTTTCGGCAAGTTCTGTTGGAAGACACTTGCCACTTCACACACTAGCACTTCTTCACTGCTCTCGAGCTTCTACTTATTTGCTGCCACTTCCTTGAAAAATCTCGCGTATGCTGGTATTTTTCTGATCACGTCGGGAGGAGATAGGTCTACGTTGGCCTTAGCCAACATCGCATGCAGGTCTCGAATCATCTTGTGGTCTTTCTCCTCCAAAAGTCAGCTAGGAAAAGGAATCCTCAACGTGTATGGGTTAGGGGACTTGTGCAAAGTTGGTTCGATAGGCGGTGTCCTCGAGGCCTCCACTTTTTGCTCCTGCTTCCTTGGACCATCTTTGTCTTCTTTCTTTGCCTCTCCGCCTACCATATTCTCATTAATTTCGAAAGGAAACGACGTGATTGATTTTGCGTGTTCCGGCTGGCTCGGCATACTGTCTTTCTTCAACTCCACCACTCGGGTGGCTAACTGGCCCACCTGTGTTTCTAAGCGTTTAATAGAAGCCTCACTGTTCGCACTCCGCTGTTCACTATTGACCATGTATTGAAGGACTTTGTCCAATTTCTCATCTGAGCTTGGCGGGTTCTGCCCGGCATCTGGCATTGGCATCCTTATCATTTGTCCTCTAGGTTGCTGCTGCTGTGGGACGAAGTTGGGTTGAGGTGGTTGTTGGTAATGGTTGTTGTCCCATGAGAAATTCGGGTGGTTTTACAACCCAGGATTCTACATGTTCAAGTATGGGTCATTCCCGGGCCGGTTCTGATAGTGCATTCACCTCGGTGTTCTGTCCTCTGTAGCTCGACTCGATAGCCAACGGACACACCTCAGAACTGTGTCCCTGAACTCCACACACGCCGCAAACGTTTACTGCCATCGTCTGAACTGGTGAAGCTCCTCTCATATTCAATACCCGCATCTGCTCCGTGAGCTCGGCTAACTGCTAGGCCATGACATTGTTTCCCGGTCCGATCTCATTCAGTGTGGACCTCTTCCCTCTGATACTTTTCTGAGACGAGTTCACACTCATCGTCTCGTAAATCTCCATAATCTCTTCAGCTGTTCTTGTAATATCTCATTCAGTAATTAATAAAAGTAATTATTCTAAGTTGAACTAATTACTTTTATTAATAATGCTCGTTCCTAGTTCCGAGCCAGTTATTAAGTTATTCAGTTAAAAGTTCGACTTTAAGTCGAAAATATTCTCGGTTAAATTTTATTCAGTAATCGAGCCAGTTCAGTAATTAATTAATTCCAGTCTGTTTATTTTTATAAATGGATGTATAAGACGGGATTAATTAATATAAGATAACGAATAATTGAAATTTAGTATATTTTGGTTAATCGTTTAAGATAAGTAGTGAACTGAACTCAAGTATGTTCGGTCATGAGTTTAACTTAATTAAGAAATAGCCGAGCCTTAGTACTAAATACTTAGAATTTTTCTAAGTGTTCAAGTCATCAAGATAAGATCATAATATTGAGCTTTAGCATAAGTTGATACAAGTTAAGTCTCGAAGTGCGGTTAAGTATCCATGAACATTTAAGTGATAAATTTTCAAGGAAGTGAGAAAATTTATTTAGACATTATAGTCTATTTAAATTATTTTAAGAGAAACCAAAATTTTTACAATTTTCGGTTTTACGGTAATTGTTCGGTTTAAGTTCGAATGTGGTTCCGTAAATGTAGAATATTTCAAGATAATTATATTAGATCCTAAGAAGCAATATGTTTATTAAATTGAAGAAACACTGTGAGTAAAGGATTTACATTTTAGAATTTTCAGTTTTACGGTAAACGTTCGTTTTAAGTCCGAATTGTGTTCCGTAAATTGTATTATTCTCGGTTTATTAGCATGATCCAAGACCATATATGAGCATTACTTTTCAGTAAAAGAGTTTTAAAAATCAGCCATTTTGATAGAAAATGCATAAGTAATAAAAAAAAGGATGATTTTTATTATTTTTATTATTTTGTTCCAAAGATTTTTATATGATGAATGGTGACATTTTTTCAATAAAATATGGAATCAATTACATCACATTAAGCACGAAATTTTGGTCATCAATTGGTCAGAATTAGATGAGAAAATCACAACAAAGTTTTGTTAGCATTTTTTTTTCAACAATTGGTGAGAATTTTATTAAACTTGGTGGAATAAGTTTTATCTACCAAAAAGCTCATTCATGGCTATGAATAGAGACCATTTTTTATGATTAATTATGTTTGGATAAGAATACAAGTTAATCATAAAATAGTTTATGATTAATTAAGTTTATAAGTTTAAATTGTTTATTTTGTTCATTTCTTCACTCCGTTAGATGTCTTGCCAAATTATGCCTATAAATAGAGGCCTAAAAATCAGAGTTCTCACACCAAAGAAAAGTACGAAAAGATATATATGAGTGTAAGAGAGATAAGTAATAGAAATTGTGAAGAAGTGAAGAATTTAGATGTGAAGATTCAAGTTACGATTCTAGCAAGAAGGAGGTAATTTACTTATCTTAAAGTTTTATGCTTAAGTTCATGTTTTGATAATGAGTTTACATGTTTATAAGTAAGTATATCATGATTTAGAAGTTAAATTTATAATTGATTCTATGAATACAAAGAGTTAAAGTTGTTCAGGATCAATTATATGATATATGTGCTTGATTTGATGAGATGTTGATAAAGATATGAATAAGCTGGAAAAGTATGATTTAAAATGAATGATTCTTATGTAAAAGAGGAGTACATGAGAACAAGAATTAAGTGATGTGGCAAAGTATAGCTTGAGTTATGAATTTTTGAAGTTGAACATGCAAGATGAATTTTATGTTCACTATGAATTTAAATTCTAATAACTTGATGTATATGCATGCTAAAATTATGAAATTTTTATGACATGTCTAATTATGAGTTGAGATTATGACTGTTAAATTTCATGATTTGAAGATGAGAAATGAATGAGTTATGATAATTACAAGGCATATATGTAAAGATGAGTATATATGCAAGAATATTCATGATATGATCAAGTTATTAAAGTGAGATTATTATGATCAATTCTCATATAAGTGATGAGCAATTTGGCAAAGTTTTAGGTTAATATGTTGAGTATATAATCTCATAAAGTTTGTATTAAGTATGACATATTAATAACATGATTAAATGTTATGATTAAAAGTTGAAGTATGACTTGAGTTTATTTTCACTTTCAAGTTGATTAAGTGAAAATTTAATATAAGCCAATATTTAAAATTTGGGAGATATGATGTATGATGAATTAAGTATTTGATTGAGTAAAGGATTAAGATGAGTTTATAAATCATGTTGATGATGTTTAAAAAAGTTAAGATGTTTGATGACTTAATATTTATTTGAGACATATTAAGCTTATTGAATATCTTTAAGATTCGGATAAGTAAGAGATAAATCTTATTGAGTATACGAGCATAGTACTTAGTATATTTGTTTATATTTTTATGTAGCTTGCAGATATAGCTACCCAAGAGCAACACTTACATTTTTCAAAAGTTTTCAAAAGAAGAAAGGTGGGGACCCAGACTGGGTATTACATTGAGTATAATATTAATATCATGTTCGAGGTATGCATACAGTTTAAGTTTATACGCTTGGCATGAGGAGGCATTCAGTTGTCTCAAAGTATATCCTAAGTTCTGATGGAGGCCGCTTGAGTTGCCTTGAGAAATATCCATCAGATTGTGCACAAGTATCCAATCAGATATCGGCCAGATTCAGTTTAAGTTACTGGAACAGATTTTCAGTCCGGATATATACAAAAGATCATGATATTGTATTATTATTGTTGTTTACTTTAGTATGGGTGTTTTTCGGGGTACAAGAGGATATGTACTCACCAC